GAGTTATTGCACTTTTGAATTGATGAGAAAATTCTTTTTATTTTCTGAGAATTTAGGTTTGAATCTTGGTTATGATAGGACAGATTTCTCTCTGCAGAACTGTCTAAATTAGTCAAAAAACAAAACAGGATTTACTTGTTTTCTCACCTGTGTGTTATTAAGAATTACTATAATTAATATAAAAATCATGAATATTTACTTCATTTTAATAGCTGAAATAAAATTATCTTGAAAGGCAAGGTCTATTTTGTCTGTTTAGGTATACAACTCTGATTAGGGTAGTCTTGAACATTTTACATGAATGTAAAAAAAGCTGCTTGCAGTTGCACTGCCACATTACGCTATATATAACTTCACAGGTAAACCAGAATCCATACTTGAGCACCTCATGGGTAAAAGTCATGCCATGAGCATGAAAATGGTAGACCTAGCTTTGTTTTCTATTGCACAGAGCTTTGTAGACTAGAACAACTCAGCTCTTACTGACTGTCTCAAGAGGGTCTCATGCATCTTAGCAGATTTAAATAGTAGCCAAAATATGAGTATTTAATGTAATCATCATACTTAAAAAGAAAATATACAAGTAATAAAAAGAGGAGCAGTGCTGCTTCTGGAGAGAGCAGTCTTTCAAAAGAGAAAAAGCTGCAGAAGAGAGGGCAATGTCACTACTTAGTCATAAAGAAGCATTCTACCTTAATTTGAAAGGACCTGCCTAATGGGCCATGCTTGGTTCCCTTAGACAAATTTATTACTCTCACTTAACATGGATATCATTATTAATTAGACAAGCAGGAGTCATACTGTCCTGCCAGCAGAGATGCTGGATTACCCTGAAGCTGGGTGTAAGCCAGTGACTTTCCTCACAGCCCATCCTTCAGCGGGACTACATTCTCTCTCTCTACATTCTAGCATACTGCTAGAAGTTTTGTGCCTGTTCCTCTTTGGAGAGTTTTATTAATTCACATTGCGAATATTGGGGCAAATGGTACAGCTAATCATTAACAATATGAAAGGGTCCTCAAAAAACCAACACAAAACTGGCTCATGTCACTGACTAGTAAGTGCATATAAAAATGCAGGGTCATAGCAGATTCTTAAATGGGTAGAATGACATTTTATATTTTAGCTGAAATAAGAGTTTGATAAAAGTTAATTAATGAAGATTCCTGCTTAATCCAGACCTGTTTTTGAGACTCCTGACAAAGTTTATCTTAAAGCAGATGCTTTTTTAAATTCTCACTTGGATATCTAAAAAAAAATATTTTTGCTTTAAATTCCTCTCTTTATAAGGACGTTTAGATACCTGTCTTTTAGCTCTTGCTACATATTGTTTCCTGAAGTTATCAATTGTAAAGATGGAAACATGATTAGATCTATAAATTTAAAATACATATTGCAAATGCTTGAAAACCAATGCAAAACTGAAGGAAGATCTTGCAGAAAAAGAAGCAGAAGCAGTACTAATGGGAACCTTGCCCAAAAAATATTTTTACAAGTAGGATGGAATACCACTAACAAGTTAAGAAATACCTCATATGTATATCAGCAATTTTAGAAAAATTGAAGCAAGTTATTTAAATGTATTTGATCTAAACTTGTATTACCATGGACTTAACCATAGCTATTGATATCAAAATCACAAGTACATACATTAGAGCTAATCACAAATTGAAATTATTATTCTGTCAAAATGTTTTTTCTGTGGAAATGTTGAATTTTGTTTTCATTCCAAATAAGAATGAAATAGAATATAAATGCCAAAAATAAATTAGTACATTATGTGTGTTGTTTGTCACAATACGATGTAATATTTGACATACTCTAAAATATTTATATGTAAAACACTGAGGGGAAATGCTACCTAGGACTGATGAGATCTTTTCTAAATCAAAGCATGCTCTCATTTTCATATACAAATAGCAAAAACTTGCATAAATATTGTAGACCCCATTTAGCTCTTCTTTCTCATTTCATCAGCTAGATTTGATGTAATGCTTAGTAAATCTAGTATCAATACTGCTATCAATGTTGATAATAAAATACACGGGCTTTTTTTAATCACTTTGAAGACTCTTCTGAGATTTTTGCATTTTTCAAACACTTTTTGAGTTACATCTCAGTAAAACTTTTAACATTTTGTTTTTCTCAGTCTACACAATGACTCTTCCCTTTTTTGTAGACGGCATATTCTTCTCAATAGGTAAAAAAATGCCTGTAAGAATTGAAGAGTCTAACAATGTAATTCAAAAGCACAAAACCTTAACTGTGCCCAGATAAATAGAGATATGCATTCTGGAACAGAGCACTGCACTAAGCTCTCTCCCATTTAAAAGCAGGGGTTGTTACTTCAGTTGTTTTAATGACAGTGATTCCTGTGATCCCACCTAGTGCCATAGTCATGTTTAAAAAAAGGTTTAAGAGTTTGTATTAGCAATAATTACTTGTTCTTTACAGATTATTCTCAGGAATAAGTAGAGTTCAAAATATTTTTAGTTTCTTCTGAGGTTACGTCTATGAAGAACTAAAGCCTTCTCCAGGAAATACATGTATCTTACACATGAGTCTTGTCGGACTCCATACTGAATAGGTCCCTTTGGTTATGGACCAACAGGCCCATTCAATCAGGTGTAGCTCTGGAAACACAGTGAATTAAAGAGCCTGCTTAAGACCTGTTAGACAAGAAGTGCTTCCAGAGTTCTTATACTTCTTACAGTATAAGCAGCAGTTTTCTTCCCTGGAGGAGTGAGAGTCCATCAGTCATCCAGAACTGGGATTGTTCAGCCTGGAAAAGAGAAGGCTTCAGGGTGAACTAATTGCAGCCTTTCAGTACCTGAAGGGAGCCTGTAAGAAAGATGAAGAGGTACTATTTGCAAGAGCATGTAGTGACAGGACAAGGGGGAATGTCTTTAAACTCAAAGACAGTAGGTTTAGATCGGAAAATCCTTTACTGTGAGGGTGGTAAGGCAACAGGTTTCCCAGAGAAGTTGTGGATTCCCCATCTCTGGAAGTGTTCAAAGTCAGATTGGATGAGGTTTTGATCAACCTGGTCTAGTGAAAGGTGTCACTGCCTATGGCAGAGGGTTGGAACTAGATGGTTTTAAGTTCCCTTCTGTGATTCTAAGTTTTATGTTGTTAGACATATCTGCAAGGTTAAACATTTGTCACCCTGCTGCTGCTCTGTGCACTTTGGTGTATGTGTGCAACGGAGCATAGGTGTCATTAACAATAATCTAGACATTATAACCTCTTTTTGAGTGTTGGTCAGAACATACTGTGAGCAGAATTAACAGTTTAATTTTAGCAGAAGGGCCTGAGTGGAAGGGGAAAAAAATGGAGAAAAAAGATAGAAAAAAAGAGACATAAGTATTTGTCATACGACATAGGCTATTGTTCAGCTACATCTAAGTGGTTCAATTACACAGTCCTCTGAACATTGGAAGAAAAATCTGTGAGAATAATATATTTTTTTTTAAATGCTGTTTGTAAGATCGAACAGCCTGTGTTCATGCTGATTTTTCCACACGACTTAATGCTATTGAGCTACTAAGCTTAGGACTTGATGGAAGTAAGTAAGGAGATTATTCCACAGCGACTGGTCATTTTAAAATCCTAGCAACTTGTTTTTGTCATGGTGATTGCAAAGAGAGGGTATGTTGCCTCCATAGCTGATTCTTCTAGAAATTGTAAAGCAGTCTTGAACCAGAAGCATTTATGAATGCATGCTGTACTGGCTTTCTTGAAGAGGTCTGTCACACGTCTACTGAATGAATAGAAAGGGGAAAGTAGTGTGTGATCTACCATTGCCTACTTGTATGCCTGAGAGTAATAGTTTCAGACAGTTTCCTGGTTTTTGTATTTCCTTTCTCAGTTAGCTTTAGGCTCCTAGTTCTCTGCCCCAGGGAGAGATGACTTGAAAAATGTAAGGTACTCTTCCAGCTTGTATCATCTGATTATGCTCCCCTTGGTCTATTCAAG